TGAAGTACACAGTGCTAGGTTACATCCAAACCAAAACAAAGTTTTTCTTAGTTGCATAAATTTAAGAATAAGCTTAAGACAACAATTTAACTCACGTTAGTATACAAATTAGCAAAAAGCATGATATAAACACAGATTATTAAAAAAAAAACATTACCTTTAATAACAGACCATTCATGGGTCTCCAGTCTTGCTGCAAATGAGCCTCTTGTACCTACATGTTTGGGCCCAAACAAGTTGCTGCACGTTGCCTCCCCTTAGGTTAGGGGTCGGCAACGTGGCTCCGGAGCCCCATGCAGCTCTTTTACTGCCCTGTTGTGGCTCCACAGCAGAATTAGATTTGTAGGTAAAAATAAAATAATCCTCCTTTACAGTAAAATAAAGCTCTGCTGATCGTTCAACACAGTTTAACAATAAATGGTCTTAAATGCTGGAGTTAATGTAGAACTGCTAATTCACCCTTTAACCCTGAAGGTTGGTGCACAGACTGCTGGTCACCATAGCAACACGGACAACAATCTGGCCTAGTTAGTACCTAACGAAAAGGCACGGCTGGTTTCCTGATACGTTTAATCTGCAATGAGACACTGCCAAACACTAAAAAGTCATGAAGCTGAAATCAGCTTCTGTGACACAAGCAGACGAATCAGACGCTTGCAGTCAAAATCAAAAGGAGAGGCTTTATTATCAAGGGCTTGAGCGAAACTCGTGGTTGTGAAACAGGCAGAGATCAAATCCGAGAAAATCCAAAGACAAAAAAGGAAAATCCTAAGAACCAGGCAACCAAATCCAAGGGGCAGAGAAAAGCAGACAAAATAATAATAAAAAAAAAAATCCAGACAAAACAATAACAAGAAGACACTCAGTAGCTCTCACTCAAAGAAGCAACACCTCGCAAAGTAACTCGTCTAAAAGCCCGGGCTTTATACTCAATCTAACTAGACACATGACAGAACAGGTGTACAAGATTAGTATTCAGGTGAATGAGATCTATGATTGGAGCGCAGAGAAGAGTCATTGGTCATGTGATCCCCCAGAGGGTTCTGGGAGATGGAGTTCGTGAGCGATTCAGAGCCGGAGGGATGCGTGACAGCTTCACATTCAACAGCATTCAACATTTGGGTTGCGACTCCTGAACTAGGGCGAATAGTAGCTGGAAGTGTTTACACACCATCACAAAAATCATATTTGTTAACACTAAACTAATATCAGCAAAAATCCTGGTCGCAGACTTTACCCCCTCAAACATCACCATTCAAAACGTTTTCCAGAACACATTTATAAAGGTAACACTGAAATGTCACATCACGTTAAATAAAACTGAATTCATTCGTCATGACAGGAATGTAGTGCATGTTAAAACCAAGTTTTACCCACTACAAGGTTAGCCTGGGGCTCATTTTCCGGTTTAAAACACGCTTCAAGGGAATGGACAGTCATTGCTGTTATCTCTGCTTACACAACTCTGCCAGTGGAATGGAGGCCCACAGGGCCAAACTGTCTGCATGATGGACTGTTGTTGTGCAGTGGAATGTTCATTGTTCCAGCAGCTTTGCAAGTGGATTTATTGTATCTCAGAATGGGAGGGGGACACCTAGGCCTACAAAAACTTCACAGTCGGCTAGAGTCGGCTTTCTAGGGGCCAGAAATGAAGCTGGAAGTCTGCAAAGCCTACGGTGCTGTGCTTGTACACAGTGCTGTTCTTGTAAAAAAGCATATTTAAAGTTCATTTTATAAAGTGAACCTAAGTAAAGTTCAAGTATATGTCCCAAATATACTTTATGTAGTAAGTATACTAGTATCAGTGCACAAGTAGTATTATTGTAAGTGTACTCTTTCAACACTTCTTGGGACTAAATTGGCCCACTTGACGAATTAATTTGTCCCAAACAACACAAAATACATCTGGTGTGAATACTGCTGCACTTTTGAGGATAATTCTGTGAATGACACTTCAATAAATACAACGCCGTTTCCAAAAAAGTCAGGACGCTGTGCAAACTGCAAATAAAAACAAAATGCAGTGATGCGCCATTCATTCATTGAAAATAGTACAAAGACAACATATCAAATGTTGAAACTGAGACATTTGATTGTTTTTTGAAAAATATTTGCCCATTTTGGTGGGCCATTTGATGCCAACAACATGTTCCAAAAAAGCTGGGATGGAAGCAACAAACGTCTGGTAAAGTTGTGTAATGCTAAAAAAAACACCTGGTGGTTGATTGGCAACAGGTCAGTAACATGACTGGGTATGAAAAAGCATCTCAGAGAGGCGGAGTCTTTCAGAAGTAAAGATGAGGAGGGGTTCACCACTCTGTGAAAGACTGCACGATCAAATAGTGCAACAATTCAAGAATAACGTTTCTCAACATAAAACAGCAAAGAACTTCTGCTTTTCATCATCTACGGTACATAATAACATTCAAAGATTCAGAGAATCTGGAGAAATCTCATGATGGTATACGGGTGCATTATTGCACATGGCATGGGTGACTGGCACATCTGTGAAGGCACCATTAATGCTGAACAATATATACATGTTTTGGCAACATGTGCTGCCATCCAGACGACGTCTTTTTCAGGGAAGGCCTTGATTATTTCAGCAAGACAACGACAAACCACATTCTGCATGTATTACAGCAGCATTGCTCCTTAATAAAAGAGTCCAGGTGCTAAAATGACCTGCCTGCAGTCCAGACCTGTCACCACTGAAAACATTTGGCGCATTATGAAATGAAAAATACGACAAAGGAGACTCTGAACTGATGAGCAGTTGAAATCCTATGTTAGGCAAGAACGGGAAAACATTTCACTTTCAGAACTACAGCAGTGTCTCCTCAGTTCCCAAACGCTTACAGAGCGTTGTTAACATTTTTGGAACATGTTGTTGGCATCAAATTCCAAATGGGCATATATTTAAAAAAAGACAATACATTTTCTCAGTTTCAACATTTGATATGACATCTTTGTACTATTTTGAATGAAATATAGGGTTTAAATGATTTGCACATGATAGCAGTTTGTTTTTATTTACGTTTTTGGAAATGGGGTTGTAAAGGTTAGGCTCTTTTCACCCAGCGGTGTGGTCGCAGGTTTTCATTACATGTCTTGTAAAGCTTATCAGTTGTGTGAAGACTGAGACAAGCAGAAAAACAAGTGGAATCAGGCGTGCTTCTGCTTGTTTAACCTTAACAACAACTTCACGCTCAAACACAGTTTAAAGCTGCTGTTTGTAATGTTGGTGACCTCTGTGGTGGAAATATGTAACTGCATGAATTGCGTGGAAGAACATTTTGTAATGTGGGTTGTGATGTAACTGATAGCGGACATTACTATAGCTATGCATATATATATATATATACTATATTATAGCATATATTATTATTATTATATTATTATATTATAGCCTGCTAACTTTAGCTATACTGCTAAAACAAATGAACAACCCTGCTGAAAAACATACAGAAAACATTTTCTACATTCCTGTGGGTTTCTGATGGTTTTGTAATGTGTTTTGGCTTTTTAAAGGGGTTCATATTACAATGTAAAGGATCCTAAAGGTTTAGCAGGTGGAGGAGAAGTTGAGACGCAGGCACCCGTTCGGAAGAGAACAGAGCTGGAACCCAGCCGTCACTCCTGACCTGCACGAACCGACATCCGGACCGTCCCACCTCAGAGTTCTGCACACCAGCACCACCACGCTTCCTACCGGGACAGAGTCTTCTGGCAGCGGGAAGCTGACCGAAGAGCATGACCACGACCATCTCCCAACTCCATCAAACGCATATCTTCTGTTCTTCAGTCTTTCCATGCTCCTTTTTTTCTCAGGTCAACTGTATCTGCTGTTTTACCTCCTTTCCCGCTTAACCGTTACTGAAGAACAAAGATCTCTACAAGACAAGTATGTACCACTTAGCCATCGTAGAACACGAGTAGAATCAACACAGGATCTTTATTTTAGCTTTACTGCAGTTTTTATGTGTGTTGTTTCATTTGTAGAAGGTAATGATAACCACTGTATTAGTCTTAGTTTAATGTAGTTTCAGTGCATTATGGTCGTTTTCTTCATAGCAAGCGTAAAAATGCTAATAGCATGCTAATGTCTCGATAGCTAGCTAGCTAACAAACCACATGCCGCAACCCAAGTCTAGCTCATGACTTGGCCCATGTCTGGTCCACACAACCCCTGCCACAACCTAAGTCAAGCCCGGCTCATGAAATTTAGCCACACAAAACTTGTCAGTGCCATAACAGAGCCTTAAATGCCAAAGGTGGCACAGATTAGGCCCAAATGTTCCTGCTATCTGGGCAGTGGCTGATTCTTAATACATTTGATGGTCTCCTAATGGGATCTAAAGGTGTTCTACAGAAAACATGTACTTTTTCTTGAGTTGTCGCTTGTCACTCTGCCTCCATGTCGCTGGTATTTGCGCACTCTCCTTGAAAACGACTAGTCGCTTGTCGCTCTGTCGCAAGCTAGTGTGCACGCAGGGTTACACCTCATACCCAAATTGAAATGAGTTTGCTTGAAGGTCTGATTACATCATGAATGCAAAAAAGCACTGAATTCATTTGCAGCTGGTTCACTTAAACAGAAGTGAGCTTGGTTCTTTAAAACAGACCCAAGGTGCAAAATACAGGGGGTCCTGGGGGGGTCAGGGACCTCCCAATTAAACCCTTGGATCCCCTAAGTATTTCAAAATGAAAATTCTGAAAAAAAGTTATGTACAATCTGTAGTAGTGTATTTGTAAATCTGAACAGTTGTCCACTTTCCCAAAGGTTTGATGAAAAGAATTGTTATAAATTTCTCAAAGCAAAGACAAAAGAGGAGACGAGTAAGATCTCAGTTAAGGTGAGTAGGAGCGACAGCTACACAGCTGACAATGAAAGAATTTAGTCAGATGTGCCTCAACTTGCTTTCTCTTCTTCCCACCTGTCACACTTAAAAGCTCTCCCAACCTATTCATGACAGACAAACCCCTCCTGAAAAAGTGCTATGAAGGGGCGGAGAGACTCAGAGTTCGGCTACTTATCTCCCTTCCTGAACTCAAGACCCTCACACCCTGTTTTTACCCCGAATCAGAGCAGAAAAATGTCAGCCGAGGCCCCCGTCAAGTACCTGGACCAAGATTTTGAAGCTCTGAGGAGCCAGTGTCTGAGCAGTGGGCAGCTCTTTTCTGACCCCACTTTCCCAGCTGCCCCCGAGTCCCTGGGATTTAAGGAACTTGGACCCAACTCGTCCAAAGCTGAAGGAATGCAATGGAAAAGACCCAAAGTAAGTGCTGCTCAAGTCAGGCTAACCGGAGACTTTTTAGGCATTGGAGCTAGGTAGCTTATATTAAAGCAATAAGCCACAAGAGGCTGTGGGTTACTGTGACTTTGTCACAAGGAAGGGTGTTGTTAGGCACGACGCAAGTACCTAATACTCCCTTCCCTGTGATAAAATCACAGTAACTCACTGCCTTAAGTGGCTTATTGCTTTTATAAAACGGCCAACATAAAATATATTAAAATACACAATGTTTTAGATAATTATTTAAGTAATTATTAATAATAATCGACATAAACAAGTATTCCGACAAGAAATGTTGTCCCTTTAGAGTTGGTATCGTTGCTAATACTGACTCCTGCAGCCCAACACAGCAAAATATCACTAAAAATGGTCATTTGGGATTCGTCCACATTCATACTTGACAGGCAGTGCGGTATTAGACAGCAGAAGATCAAATTTCCAAACTTAATGTTACACAGCTCACTATTTAGCTAGGGAGTACGGAGCCGTTTGGGACTCAGCCTGGGTTTGACGCTACTTCTGACTGAAGCACAGACATTTGAAGTGTGTGAGACATTCAGGTTCATTCTTTAGACTTTTATACTGCCGTTTTTCAGTGAATCATATCGTGAGTGCTTAAATTCAAGTCTGTGATATTAATGTTGGAGTTGTTTAGCATGTTTACTATCTTTTAGCCTGTTAGCTAGCTGACCAGCCCAGTTCTAGATAAGAAAATAAGTTTTCAGCCCCTCAGTTTAAACAGAAACAGGTTCTTACTTCATCAGTTCACTCGGTGCTCTCTGTGAGCAGCATTAGAGTAAAAGATTAATCCATTAACAGCAGAAGGGTTTTTCGTGCTGTGGCTCAGTGATACAGAGTTCAGATGTTGTGAGGAGGTCAGAGCCGTGGTATATCATGGATTTTACAACGGCATCGAACGCAGCTCAGCCAATCAGATTTTAGGACCGGAACTATCTGCTTTATAATTTAACATATACAGTGCAGTGAAAAGTTAAAGACCACCCTTCAATTCAATTCTTAAATTTCCAGTCAAAATGGTCATTAAGTAAAGGTCATTAATTTTTCAGCATCAGGAAATGTGTATATATATATATATATAAAACAGAAATTTACTGAACAATTAAATATAACATCAAATGTTTCACTATTCTGTATGGCTTTTATTTCAGCTTACATTCTTTTTCTCGCCTTCGGTTTTTCAAAAATATGCAGGGATTTTTTTTCACACTTCCAAAATTTAGTCTTAGAACTTGGTTGCGTTTCCAACACATCCAGTGATGCTGAAGTCTGGACTCTGGGGTGGTCAGTCCATTGTTCTGAGAGCTTCATTGCGTGTCTATTTCCTTTTCTTAGCATCTTTACAGCTACATATGATCTTTCAGTGTCTACCAGGTCTTCCAGGAGGTTGCTAGGAAAAACCCTTTATGAAAAACCCTTTAACAAAGCAAAGAACCCTTTAATCATGCAACGATTTCTCTGAGTGTTCCTGGTTCTACATAGAACCATTTTCCTTACTAAAAAACCCTTGAAGAGCCCTTTTATTAAGAGTGTAGTGTAAGATTCTCCGCAGCTTCCACTCAGAGCAAATGCAAGGCAGCACATGTAGAAGAAGGTGTGTCCACTCAGCTGTTGGTTCTGTTGTGCAGGAGCTGTGCTCGGAACCCAAGTTTATCATTGGTGGGGCCACAAGAACCGACATCTGCCAAGGGGCACTGGGTAAGCTGTAGAGCACTGAGAATGAATTTATTATAACAGTCATATCTAAAATGAAATTATAATGTAGTTACAAAACAATGAATATCTAAATTAAGTAATAATAAAATAAATATCTAGAATGAAGTTATTATAAAATGAATATTTAGAATGAAGTTATAATTAAATGAATATCCAGAATGAAATTATACTAAAATGAATATTTAGAATGAAGGTATAATTAAGTTATAGTAAAATGATTATCTAAAAGGAAGCTATAATAAAATATTTAGAATGAAGTTATAGCAAAATTATTATAAAGACTGAAGTTATAATAAAACGAATATCCAAAATGAAGTTCTAACAAAATTAACATCCATATTCTTAGAGAGAAAATCTTGATGCAGACAACCTTACAGAACATATTTAATTATGATATTTTATCATGGAATAACATGTTGTTTCTAAAATAGTTTCTATATTAAATAATACATTTTTGAAAGCTGACTTGTTGTTGAGTTTCTCATTTTTAAAAGGACATATTATTGTTTTAAAATACGAAAAACTGTTGATATAACAAATGATTTGAAAGCTTTGAAGGGCAGTGTGTTCTTCACTCACACTCAATAATGTAAAAGTAAATGATAAATTATAAGTATCAACTGAAATATATTAGCTAGCATTAGTTAGCATTAGACCTTAGTATAAAATGGAGAAAATAACCCAATGATGTTTCTTACAGAAACACTAAAATAAATAATAATCATTTAAAAAAATAAATAAATAATTAAAAAAAATATGTGAAACCTTTTCATTTTCAGTTTTGTTTGCTGGCGTTTAGGAAATTACATGCTGTTTCATTTCAATGGAGAAGGTGAGGAGAATAACGTACATCCCTGCAGGTGACTGCTGGCTGATGGGGTCCATCGCCTCTCTGACTCTGAACCAGGACGTTCTGGCACGAGTGATTCATCCTGAGCAGAGCTTCACGGAGAACTACGCTGGAATCTTTCACTTTCAGGTCAGACTCTCCTGACTAACTCTTCATCTCAGATCTCGCAGAGCAGCACAGGACAGACTGCTTTGCAGAGTAAACGCTAAGAGAAGAAAAAGAAGCGTTTATGATAATAGAGAAGTATTTATGATAATAGAGAAGGTGGTGCTTCAACTTTTCTCTCCACAGCTGTGGCAGTATGGACAGTGGGTGGACGTCGTCATCGATGACAAACTGCCCACCAAAGATGGAAAACTAATGTTCGTTCACTCAGGTGAAAGAAAAGAGTTCTGGAGCGTGCTGCTGGAGAAGGCCTACGCAAAGTGAGTGCATGTGGGATGGTCCACCGTCTTTAAGACTACCACAACCTAGACTTCTTATCGTCAGAGCCAGTGAGTCTTATGTGGTCTTCTGCTATGAAAGATGAAACAGGTCAAAACGTTTCTGGATTTTGAAATGGTAACAATGCAGTTTTAGGAAAATGTCGGCTATTTGAGCCTAAAGTACTTTGAGAACCATATGGCCGACCCCCAAGGGCCCAGATAGCAAGTGTACGTCGGTCCTCTGGCTTGATAAGGTCAGCACACCTCTGCTGGTCCACTCTCGGACCACCCAGATTACTGTCCTGCATAACTACTAACTACAAGAAAATAAACCAAGACAAATATTACAAACAACTGAGAGAAAAAAAATAATGACTAGGCCTGATGTAAAATGATATTATAGAGAATGTTGTTGCTGACGCTGAGCCAGATTAAAATTATTTACTAAACTAATGTACAAAGTGTAACTAAAGCAAGGAAGGAAGGAAAAATAAGTAAATTAGACTGTGAGTGGAAAATGAGCGATGATAAGTGGAATTTTGGGTCCTGCTTTATATTAAGAGTCTCTAATAACTGTGTAGTTACACATGAATAACATATGCAACAACACTGTAACTACTGATGATTTAGCCAGTGTTACAGATGGATTACAGAAGTACAACCTATGTAATTACACATGTGTATCAACTTCAGTTTTGCCTCATGTAATTACAGAAGTGTATCTTTTTGATACACTAAAGAGCAGAAGTTGTCATAATATTACATTTATTTTTTTATATAATTACTGTGGAATAACTGTGTTGTAACAAGGTAATCTAATCACATCAAATTGATTAATACCATTCTGTAATTACACTGTACCTTTATAACAACTACACAGGAACTTTCCTGTAGTGTAGTGTCAAATTTACACTTCCTGTGTAGTTGTTATGTAGGTGTAATAAAGGAGTGGTAATATAGACATTACTTTGGGTTTAATGCAGCACATTTCATTAATGTCATAAGATTAGGGGGCATCTGCTGCACTGTCGCATATACATACAGAATGGTTTAAAGTTGAAACTGGTTACAGTGGCACAGCACTAGCAACAGAAATGCTAGCTAAGTGTTAGGAATGCTGGCTGATACAGTGTAAGTAGTGTAAGTAAAAACTGCTGTTCCAATCTGATTACAATGTAATTACATTTATGTTCTTACCCATGTGTAATTACATGGTTACACCTATTAAGAAACCTTTGTGTAATTACATGAGACAAAACTGACTGACTACATTGATGTGTAATTACACAAGGTGTACTTCTGTAATCCATCTGTAACAGTGACTACATAATTAGTAGTTACATTGTTCTAGCATATGTTGTTCACATGTAACTACACAGTTATTAGAGACACTTAATATAAAGTGGGACAAAATTTTGTCTAGTACTCTACTTAAACATTGGTGGGCCGCCCAAAAAACACTGAGCAAAATGCTAGTGGACTGCCAGCTCTGCCATCAGTGGGTCGGCAGTGGTCAACTGTTCTCTTGCTATCAGGGAAAGGCCTTTTTTCAATGTCGAGCAAGGAAGAATGGCAATGGCTAACAGGCTAAATGCTTCACAGCATGTTCTGTAAGACTAGTCACTCAATTTTGTGCTTTGTCTACCAAATGGAGCAGATAGAATTGAACCTGTACTACATGGATCTGTAGGGTACTAGATGAGCTAACTAGGCTAGAGGAGCATTAGCCTTGCTAGGAGGCTACACCACAGAGCAGGTTTAATTTCAGCTTTCTGCCCCCCAACACCAGCCGCTCGACTTCACTCCCTCAGATCTGAGTCACTTCCGTCTAAACTTGCACCAGTGTAGCGTTTGTTGGTCAGAATTTAATCTTCGTGTGGTCAGAAGAGCTGTTAGCATGCTAAGTTAATGCTAACCAGCCCCTCTCTCCTAGTTAGCAGTGTTGTTTAACATTTACTGTTGTTGCTAGATAGATGGGTTGAAATTTATTGAATGGTGGATTAATGCATTGTTCATAGGCACCAAACAATTTTTCAAAATTTCTGCACGATTCAATCGTTGAGATTGAGTAAACAAAGTGGTGGGTTGTAAAAAAACGTACTGACTCAGATTTCTTAACAGTGGTGACTACATTTAAATAGCAAATGCAGCCATTTTATTTACCATCCAGTATGACCAGTGAACTTACTTGTGTCTTCTGTAGCTTTGGTTTTATATGTATAAGTGGGACATCTGTATGATTTGTAATCATAATAATCCAAAATCTGTACTGACAGCTGGAAAAACACCATGAGTACAGCAAGGAAACATAAACCATGGTGAATGCCATCAGAAGATCTCTGCATTAGCTTTGTGTAAGACTAAAATATTCATGTCAAGATTCAGTAAGAATAGGCTATAGGCTACGTTCACATTACCAGGTTGAAGTGGCACAAATCTGATTTTTTGCCCTAATGTGACTCAGATGTGATTTTTTCAGGGCTGTGTGGACACACAAATCTAATCTTAGCCACCCGAATGACCTGAGCCGATTTGGCTACGTTCACATTACAAGCCTCATTTCTCAAACCCGATTTTTTGCTCAAATCCAATCTCTCTGACAGGATGGTTCACACTCGTTTAGGGAAGTGATTCAAATCTGTCATTAATGTGATGAACCGGCATCCTGAAATGACCCTCATGTGCATATCCTACTCAGTAACGTCACGTGAATGATTTACATGAATTCCGATCTGAGCGTTCATATTAAGGTCGTATGGCCACGAATCGGATATGTATCCGATCTAGGACCACATTTGAAAGGATCAGATTTGCGTGTCCACACAGCTCTGAAAACATCAACATCACATTAAGGCAAAAAAATCAGATTTGTGCCGCTTCAACCTGGTAATGTGAATGTAGCCTTTCATATGTGGTCCTAGCTCGGATACATATCCGATTCGTGGCCATGTGACCTTAATGTGAACGTGATTCATTCACGTGACATTACTGAGTAGGATTGGCGCATGAGGGTCATTTCAGGACGCCGGTTTGTTCACATCAATGACAGATTTGAATCACTAACCTAAACGAGTGTGAACCATCATGTCAGAGAGATTTGAGCAATGAGGCTTGTAATGTGAACGTAGCCATAGACACACAAGGCTTGGTTCTGAACCTTGGGAAACATAATCCTGCCATCATTCTTACTGAATCTCTGACTGTCTCTTATCACTCTTCAGGGTGAACGGCAGTTATGAAGCTCTTTCTAAAGGCTGGGCTGCTGAGGGCTGTGTGGACTTCACTGGGGGCATCGCAGAACGCTACGAGCTCAGCAAAGCTCCACCAAACATGTTCAATATCATGAAGCAGGCCCTGACTCAATGCTCTCTGCTGTGCACGTCTATATACGTAAGGCATAAATGTATACTGACAACTGCATTTATTCTCTGTTTGGAACAGGTTATATTAGGTAAAAGAGATCTTGGTGTCACAACATCTACAACCTCATTTCCGAAAAAGCTGTGATGCTGAGCAAAATGAAAATGAAAAAAAAAGAATGCAATGATTGCAAATCATTTAAACCCAGTATTTCACTGGAAATAGTACAAAGACAACATATCAAATGTTGAAACTGGGAAATTTTTTATTTTTTTGAAAAATATATGCCTATTTTATATTTGATGCCAACAACATGTTTAAACAAAATGGGACAGGTGCGACAAAAGACTGGTAAAGTTGTGTAATGCTAAAAAAAACACCTGGTGTAACATCTCTCAACTAATTAGGTTAATTGGCAACAGGTCAGTAACATGATTGGGTATAAAACGTCTTCCAGAAGTAAACATGGGCAGGCGTTCACCACTCCATGAAAGACAAATAACGTTTCTCAGTGTGAAATAGCAAAGAACTTGGAGATTTCATCATCTACAGTACACAACGTCATTAAAAGATGTAGAAAATCCACTACAAATATAATCCCAATATTGGATGGCCGTGATCTTTGGGCTTTCAGGCAGCACTGCAATAAAAACAGACACGATTCTGTAGTGGAAATCACTGCATGGGCTCAGAAACACTTCCGAAAACCACTGTCTGTGAACACAGTACATCAATGCAAGTTTAAACTCCACCATGCAATGAAGAAACCATATATAAAGAGGATCCAGAAACACTGCTGCCTTCTCTGGGCCCGAGCTCATTTAAGACGGACTGAGGTGAAGTGGAAAAGTGTACTGTTTTCAAACTTTTTGAAAATCATGGACAAGGAGAAGGACCATAGTGCACAGTTCAAAAGCCAGCATCTGTGATGGTGTGGGGGTGCATTAGTGCACATGGCACCATCAATGCTGAATGACATATACAGGATTTGGAGCAAAATGTGCTGCCATCCAGATGACGTCTTTTTCAGGGAAGGCCTTGCTTATTTTAGCAAAACAACACCAAACCACATTCTGCATGTATTACAACAGCATGGCTCTGTAGTAAAAGAGTCCAGGTGCTAAACTGGCCTGCCTGCAGTCCAGACCTGTCATCGCTGATAACATTTTGTGCATTATGAAATGAAAAATGTGACAAAGGGGACCCCGAACTGTAGCAGCTGAAATCCTATGAGAAGCAAGAATAAGAAAACGTCTCATTTGCAAAACTACAGCAGTGTCTCCTCAGTTCCCAAACGCTTACAGAGTGTTGTTAAAAGAAGAGGTGATGAAACACAGTGGTAAACAGGCCCCCGTCCCAACTTTTTTAAAATGTGTTGCTGGCATCAACTTCAAAATAGGCATATATTTTTCCATAAACAATAAAATCTCTTACTTTCAACATTTGATATATTGTCTTTGTAGTATTTTCAATGAAATATAGAATTTGAACAATTTGCACATCATTGTATTCTGTTCTTACATTTAGCACAGCATCCCAACCTTTTTGGGAACGGGGTTGTAGATCAGGTGACATTAGGTATTAGGTTGTGTCATGACACTGTCAAGGGTGAACGGATATCTTTGTAGCTCAGTTTAGTACTGATAATATGACAAAAGCCAGGCTGGTGGAACAAAAGTGAGCATTTGCTGTGGCCTTTGAGTAAAGTATGCCACATCATC